GGAAAATATTGGTTCCAGGAACAGGGGATATCATTCTATTTTCTGAAGTCTTCTTCAAGCTCCTTTATCTGAGTGCTATAACTTTTATTGTAAAGGTCTTTCATTTCCTTGGCTAGGTTAATTTCTAAGTACTTCATTTTTCTACTGTGAGTAGTATTGTTTTCTTATTTCTTTTGAGTGAGTTCATTATTGATGGATTGGAACACTATATTTGTGTGTTGATTTTGTATCCTGCTATCCTGCTGAATTTGATCATTAATTCTAAGAGTCTTTCTGTGGAATTTTTTTGGACTTCCATTTAGAGAACTATATAATCTTCAAATAATGATAATTGACTTCTTCCTTTCTTATATCTATCCTCTTTATTTCTTTCTCTTGCCTGGTTGCTCTGGCTAAAGTTTCAAATACTACATTAAACATGAGTGGTGATAGTGGATACCCTTGTCTTGTTCCTGATTTGGGAAGAAAAACTTTCAACTTTTCCCCCCATTTAATATGCTTTTAGCAGTAGGTTTGTCATAAATGGCTTATATCGTATTGAGATAAGGTTGTTCTATACTCATTTTCTTCAGCGTTGTTATCATGAATGGATGTTGGGCTTTGTCTAAGGCTTTTTCTGCTTCTATTGAATCGATCCTGTTGACTTTGTCCTTGCTTCTGTTTATGGGATATATTACATTTATGGAGCTGTGTATGTAGAGCCATCCTTGTATCCCTGGGACAAAGCCTACTTGATCATAATGTGTGATATTTTTTATTTGTTGCATTCTGTTTGCCAGTATCTTGTTGAGAATTTTTGCATCTGTGTTCATTAAAGATATTGGCCTATAGGTTTCTTTTTTTAGTTGGGTGTTTGTCTCGTTTTGAAATCAAGGTAATTCAAACTTCCAGGAATGACTTTGGAAGTATTCTTCCCCTTTCAATTTCATTAAAGATTTGAGGAATGTTGTATTCAATTTTCTCTGAAGTTCTGCTGGAATTTAGCAATGAATACATCAGGTCTTGGGTTTTATTAATTGGTAAGTTTTTATTACTGCTTCAAGTTTATTGCCTGTTATTGAATTATTCAGAATTGTAAAAAATATATTCTTGGCTCATTTTAGTCATTTGTATGCATCTAGGAATCTGTCCGTTTCTTCTAGATTCAGCAATTTATTGGAGTACAGGTTTTTGAAGTAGTTACTAACAATCTAGATATGAGCAATGTCTGTTTTGATTTCATCTTTTTCATTTATAATTGAATTTATTTGGATTTTAACTTTTTTTGTAAGATTGGCTGAGGGTTTGGTAAGGTTAGCTATTTTGCTTATTCTTTCAAAGAACAAGCTCTTGGATCCATTGATTCTTTGTATTTTTTAGTCCCTTTCATCAATTTCTGTGCTCATCTTTATAAGTTCTTTGTTTGGATGTGAATTGATCTTGTTTTTCTAAGACCTTGAGGTTCATGATTTAGGCTTGCTCTATTTTTCCTCTTTTTCTTGATTTTTTTTTTTTTTTTTTGAGACAGGTCTCACTATGTTATTTAGGCTGAACTTGAACTCGCTGTGTAGCCGAGGCTGGCCTCAAACTCATGGCAATTCTCCTGCCTCAGCCTCCCGAGTTCTGGAATTACAAGTATGTGTCACCATACCAAGTTTCTTGTTTTTATGATATGAGTATTCACAGCTAGAATCTTTCCTCTTAGGATGATTTTCATCTTGTCCCATAGGTCCTTACATTATTATTTGATAATGTACTGCTCTTATCCTTTGACTCTATGAACTAACTTCTTTGATTTCTGTCACCATTGATTATTCAAGTATATTGTTTAATTTTCATTTGCATAATTTCTGTGATTTCTTTTGTATTGAGTTCTAGTTTCATTACACTATGACAGTGCATGTCTGAGGGATGAAAGGGATGGGTTCCAAAGTAGCATGTAGAGTCAGTTAATTAAAGAAGGATTTCAATATATAATATAATTACAATCATTTGTTACGTTTCAGACCCAAAGCAGTCCCACAGAGCACAATGACATCTTAAGGTCACACATTGTGCACATCCCTTCTGATACCAAGCCACCTGGCTATTTAACTGCAGAACAAGTCATCTTGCATTACTGGCTGCCATGTTCTACAGCCCAATGATATCAGGAAAGGAATTTTTTACACACCCTCCTGTACTGGGCTGGGTCCTGGTTTAAATTAAGAATATATCTTTTTTAAAATTTCTTACTTGATCAAAGCCCTAGAGAAAATACTGACCATCTAAAAAAGGACAGAACAAATAGAAGTACTTCCTGTCAGCTGATTACTTTTGATCATCTTAGGGAACTTTCTGATATCAACTGTAATGATTATATAACAAAAGGCATGATATAAAGCAAAATCAGCAGTGTTTTAGTAAGCAGAGGTTGCTAGAATTTAAGTATGTAAAAAATTCTTCCTGTGCATTAATTTTCCAGATACACCCCCCCCTCTTTTTTTTTGCGACTGGGGATCGAACTCAGCACCTTGCGCTTGCGAGGCAGGTGGTAGCACCACTGAGCTATATCCCCAGCCCAATACCCCATGTTTTTAAAGAAGTATCATTCTCCATGAAACACGGGTCACTTAGAATACGTAATTATGCTATTCAAAATTAGCTGTAAATGAGTATGTGCTAAGCAAATTGAGTGATTCCATTTTTGTAAAGCTGTTGTGTGAATCATAAATACTATCGATGAGATAAATAAATAAATAAATGGGACAGAAGAGGAATTTAGCCTGTTTTGCAATTCCTAGGCAACCTCTAAGCAAAATGTTGATAAGCATCATATTTATTCCAATTTCAAGGATGTGAAGAGTAATTCCTGGATGCATAAAAATCTATACAAACTTACACTTGGTGCAGATGTCTTTGTAGCTCTGCCAGCCTTCTCACTTGAAGGCATGACTCTATCTTGATCTACTTTTAATAAATTCTACCTATACTTCTGCACAGCCTATGTGTCTTGGCTGAATTCTTTCATCAAAGGCACGAGAACTCAGGACCAAGGGAGTGAGGGTCTGGTTCCCCACTGCATCAGGACCCTGCTCCACCGTGACAAGACCATTCACAATGAGAGTTATTACTGAAAGGTACTGATTTATTCTGTCACTGCATTTTTTTTCCTGTTGCTTATTCTTTTATTTTTCCCTTCTCATTAACCACTTACCCTGCTTGGTATATTCATTCCCTTAGACTGTTTGGCATCATTGGCTTCACTGGGGCAGGGCCTTGTTAAATTGCCCTGGCTGGCCTAGAAGTAGCAATCCTCCTGCCTCAAGTTTCCTGATATCTGAGATTAAAGTATAAGCCTCTATGCCCAGTTTACGACCCGTGTCCTTAATCATATCTGATTTTAATCATATTTGGGCTTAAATATATACTATATGGGCAGATGAGTCTTAAGTCAGCCTCAACCTGGCCTCTTGAAGCTGCGAGGGCCTTAAAACACTGAGCACGAAAGGGAATGCCTGGAAATTTTGCAAGATTTAGGTCAAATTCCTGTTCAGGTCCCATGACCCAGCCAATTCCCACGTAACACTGCCATCTGTATCCATCAGAGTTCTCCTAAACTTCACTCTGCTGTCAACCTGAGTGTCAAAGATTTTATTTACTGTGGTGCTGGGGATTAAACCCAAGGCATTGCATATGCTAGTCGAGTGCTTTACAACTGAGATACACCCAGCCCAGGGTCAGGAGTTTTAAAATGGGAACAATGGGAAAATCGGATAGAGTGAAACTCTGCTCTAACCAAACACTAACAATTCACAGCTGCCTGAGCAGTGCAGGGAGGAAGATGGGAGAGTTAAATTGTCTAAGAAACATTCAAGTTACTTCTACGGAAGACATGATACTGCCTCTCCCCTCACAGCGCCTACTGCCTGCTCAAGGGTGCTCAAACCCTTTAATAGCATCTGCAGAGCAACTCACTCGTGACTGCAAATGGAACCCTTAGCACAAAGAAGAGATGTGAGGAGGTGTAAAGCTTTAAAGGAGTTCTCAGAATGCAACAGGACCCTTCAGAGAAAGTTTCCTAGACACAGCGACAACTACATTCTATAAAATTAAAAAATCATTTTTTTCTCGGTACAAATGCAATACATGCTTGTGACAAACAAGTCAGAAAATACAGACGAGCGAAGAAAAGAAATTGCAAGAAAGTACCCACCTACAATCTCGCCTACCCAAAGACAACTTCTGTCAACACCCTCAACACCTTGACAACCAGAATTTGCAGTAGCAATGTGCACAGCCAGACCATAGGTGGGGAGGAGGGGAACAGGAAAACAGGAGCGGTCCCTGCATTTTATTACATTTCATTTTATGTTTTATGACTCCAAGTCTGCAGTACATGATGTTTACACTGTGTGGAGTTGGCACATGTGCCCCAAACATCTTTATGCCTTTCCCTCCCTTCCTCTCCTCCGTCTCTTGTTCCCCTTCCCATTTGAGAAAGATCTATCTCCCTACTTACTGTTATCTATCTTTTACTTTGCTCTTTTTTTTTTTTTTTTTTGGTACCAGGGATTGAACTCGGGTCCTTGTGCTTGCGAGGCAGGCCACTGAACCGCTGAGCTAAATCCCCGGCCCTACTTTGCTCTTTATTTATAAATTTAGTCTATGCTCTGCAGTGATAAGAAATCTATTTGATGGAGTTGGTAAGAAGATGGTGAGGAGGACTGATAGGCAATCTCTCAAGCCGGGCAGACTTAAAGCAGGCACCAGCACCAGGGAGTCCAGCCGAACAGCGATGTGATTAAAATAATCAATAGCGATAACAGCTTTTGTTGAGTGCTTGCCATATGCAAGACGTTATGCTAGATACTTTACATTCCATCTTATTGGATCCTTACAATCGCCTTATCCTGTTTAGAGAGGCTGAGAGCTTTGCCCAAATTCTCACAGCAAGCAGGTTCCAAACAGTGCACTGATGTTTCCTAAGTGTGGTTTTCAAACAGAATGCCTTGAGATGTTTGTTAAAAATGTAGTCTTTCATGCTCACTTCAGCAGCACATATACTAAAAGTGGGATGATACAGAAAAGATTAGCAGGGCCCCTTGCACACAAGGATGACACGCAAATTCGTGAAGCGTTCCGTATTTTTTTTAAAAAATGTGGCTTTAACTTGAAGTGTCCAATTCAGCAAGACTAGGTGGGGGCAGATGCATTAGTGAATTTCACAGTTCCCCCAGGGAAGTTCTCTCCAACAAACTTGAGGCCCTCTGTTCCTAGACAATGGAAGAGTGAATTGGCTAAGTAGTCATCAAAGATTCACACCTCTGGCCTGAATTTTACTGCCCCGAGATAGCTTCACTTTGACCCTGTACCTCGTTGTGGGGCCCTTCTGTAATGGGGGAATGTTAAATAAAAATTATAGGAGACTATGGTTTTGGACTAAGCTCCTGTACTAAAGCCTAAAGACTAGATTGAAAATCAAAATAATGTCATTTATGCTAAAGCTTTACATCACCACAATGAAAGTAAGTTGTTACTTAACCTTCCAAAACATCAAGAGAGAGAGAACAGAAAAACTCCACCAACAGAACAGCTTCAGTTGGCATGGAAAAGAAGTTCCTGCTGCTTTAATCCTTACCAAGAAAAGTGGGGTTGAGGGTGTAGCTCAATGGAAAAGCCCTTGGTGGTTCAGCTTTCCTGACACCCTGAGTCCAATCCCCAACACCAAAAGAAGAAAGGAAAGTAACCTGATATTAAGCAGTCATTTTTCTATCGTTCTGTCTCCCTGTCCCTGCCTTACAAGGAAAATAACTTTAACATGACTGGCCTGCTTTTTGGTTTGTTGCTGTTGTTGTTTCTGCCCTCTTCGGCCTTTGTCTGTTTATAAAACCAACTTTCTCTGGTCAGCTCATCAGAACATTTATTCTATTTTATGGAATGCAATCTCGGTGGAGTCTAGGATCACAAGTAAAACCAATTAAGACCTTTAACCTGAATTTATTTTAATTTGGTCCTTTGGGTAATCATTTGGTACCTCTTGTACTTAGCTTTCTCACCAACTGCTCTCAGATGTCTGAACACGAAAAAATAATGAAATGGACTCATCAGTGCTTGGTCAGCAGATCAAGAGACGTGGTGGCTCTCAGGGGAGGAGTGAGCTGCCCAGTGAGGGGCGGCTGCAGGCCCTGGGCTCACTGGAGAAAGACCTGGTTCAAGCTGAGTCCCCAAATCACAGAATCCAAGTTGCAACCAGGATGGAGGCAAAGATGCCAAACCTCGAAGTAGAGGTAATGGACTACACAGAGCCACTTTTGTGTAATTTTGGTGGGTTTCAAACAGAGCATTTCCCAGCCTGCCTCCAAAGCCTCAAATACCTTACCAGTATTTTTGCCAAAGTGGCAGCTCTCCTCAGCCCTTCCCCACCACCTCCCCAGCAGGGCCTGTGGCAGTTTGTACCTAGTGGAGGAGGAGGACACAATGATCTAGAGACCAGGATATTATCTTAGTCGTAGTCTTGATTTGTCCTTCTAAAACTGGCTAACCATGGCAGGCCATCTAACCTGCTGACTCAGTTTCCATTCCCATAAATTGTAGTACCTTTGTAAGTACTCAAAGACCCTCATAGGGCTACTGAAATACTGTATGCTCAATTATAAAATGCTGTACACAGCAGAAAGCTGGAAGATAGTTTAAGGCGGCCTCAGAATATGTGATTGACTACTTATTAAGCCAATCAAAACAATGAAAGATAGAAGACAGCAGGTCTGTTTACCTCATCGGTTTGATTGAAGGTCATCTCCAGGCTGAAACAGTTCAGGTCTGAAAGTCACAAATGAGCATGCCCAGAAGATACCTATCAATAGCCAGGTATGGGGGCATACACTACTCAGAGGCTGAGGCAGGAGACTACTTGAAACCAGGAATTCCAGGACAACATGGGCAACATAGTGAGGTCCCATCCCTTAAAAAAAAGGTACCTGTAAACTGGGAAATAACAGTCTTCTGAGTAACCCAGTCTTAATTCCCTTTAAAAATGCTCTGATTTTAAGCAAGAACCCAGCCCAAGATCTGAGGCCAGTGAGCTCTACACAACCTTCATTGTTCTTGGGTCAGTGGTCACACAGCACAACAGCCTATAGAGCAGGAGTCTACTGGAAGGGCTAGGTGTGCTGGCCTCAGAGACAGCAAGAAGACAGTGCAAGTGACTTCAAAGCACCTGAGGAACATCCAGGCTCAGGGGCCAGGACCAGGAAATCAGGTGGAAAAGGAGGGTTGAGAGTCAGAGGAGTAAGAAGCTGTGTACTCTTAGGGTTTCACATGGCCTTAGCTGATATGGGCTTCTCTGAGCTCTGGTCCTTATTTATAGATGTGGGAGTTGGTCTAAATGACCTCAAAGTCCTTTCAGTTCTGGGTGGGAAGATATCATGGAAATCCAAGATGCACAGACAGTTGCTCTCTGGTTTACCTCTGAGATCATCCCAGAAACCCAGGAAACCCTGTGCCACCTGGAGGGCCATGTCCCAGAGCTGTAGGAAGGGCAACCCTCCGTGAGGGAAGGTGGGAAGACCAGGCATCATCCAGTCCTGTGAGGGCTGCCAGAGCTTCCTCCTGCTAAACAACTCAGAGACCTTTCACAGACATGATCTTACTTCCGCCTTCCATCTCCATAAGTGAAGTTGGCGTTTTAAATGGTTCTCTGTGTGCGACCACAGGGCAAGAAACAAGACCGTGCCGTGGGAATGGAAATGCACTTTGAAGGACGCGCCAGGACAAGACATAAGAAAGAAGCAGCCGCGTCCTAAGGCTCTTAGCAAGTTCACAGGAAAGTTCCCCAGCAGTGACACATCCTCTTTCTCTGTCACACTCTCTGCCACTTAGCGGGGAGCCAACTTTGGACCAGGCTGAGTTCTCCTCAGTCACGTGAGTTACCTGTAGCAAAAAGATTAAGACATTCATTTGTTTGGTGTATTTTTCCACTGCCTTCTTTCCAAACAGGAAAGTAGTCTATCTTTCCAGTGAGACTTTTTGTTTTTCCTTCCCTTAGGAATTCTCTTAGGTCAGGAAGCAGATGTTGCTTGATGATAATAGGTCTTCCTGTCTTTGGTAAGAGCCCTGGTTCACTGAGGAGATGATGCAGATGCTCAGAGAGAGAAAGGGTGAGGAGAAAAGAAAGGCCTTGAAGGACAAGGATAGAGAGAAAAGAGTACTTATAGGCCAGAATGATAGAAAATAATAGAAGACGGCCCTGATTGTAAGGACAGAGCCCATGCCAGGACCCCAATACCAGCCTCCTCTCAGAAGGAGGCATGTGGCACTGGGCTTCCAGTCTCACCAAAGCTTCCTGGGCTCAGAAACAGCAAAGTTACCAAAAAAGGGATCTGAGGCAACAGACATTTTAGTGTAGACTGTTGCCTGGTGATTAGGTGGAACACCCCACACTTTTCAGGATCTTTAGGGGAGAATTTGATCCTTCCAGATTAATAATTTGTCCATTGGGCTGGATTGGGAGCTCAGAAGATTTCCTTTCATTTTAGAAAGAATAAAAACAGAGAAATACAAACAAAAATAGAGAAATAGAGAACTGCTAACTCAGCGGGGGTGTGGAGTAAGACTCCCTTTGACATGTACAGAAGCACATGAGCCCTCACTGTGTTGGCATGCCAGGCTGTGAGGATACTTGTTACATCTCCTTAACACCCAAATCTTATTAGCTCTAAGCTCCTACCTGCTAATGCAGGAAATCCGGACTCATTCTGTTGATTAGGATTTTTCAAGTACCAGTCTCATAAGAGTCTAGAAGCGGCTCTCACAAGAGCACTGTTGTAAAACAGCAAGCCTGGCCTCCCGTGAGCCTGCGCGGCTTCCTGCTAGGTCATGTGATCACTCGCTCCTGCCTGTGCTCCTGCCTTTGTGGCGTGATTCGCCCGTGAGGCCTTCACCACAGCCAAGCTGCTGAACATACCGTGCCCTTGTGCCTCCAGAACTGAGCTAAATACGCCTCTTTTCTTTGTATACTTCCCCAATCTCACCGATTTCATTAAACCAACAAGAACTGAATACAGTGATTATTATGCTGAGAAAGTCCAAGTAGAAAGCACTAAAACGGCTAAGGAAAACAGTGAAGAGAAAGCCACGTTGAGTATCTGGAGCGGTTGCAGGGATTAATGCCACCATCAAGAACGTAAGGGAAATAGACCACAGCCACTTGCTTTTGAGAGGAGGTGGTGCCGGGGCTGTGGCTGAGGGGCAGGCAATTGCCTAGAATACAGAAGGTTCTCCATTTGAGTCCCAGAACCAGAAAAGAAAGAAGAAAGGAAGAAAGGACTTAAGGGACGCAGGAGTGGTAATTTCCACCACATTCCCATTCCATACGCCTACTTGTGCAGAAGACGCATGGATCTGGCAGGATGACAGTGGATTATCAAAAGCTTCACCAGGTGGTATCTCCACCAGCATCTGCTGTAGCAGATGTGGTTTCATTACTGATGTAGTTTCATTTCAGATGTGGTTTTATTCAGTGAAATTTCTAGGGGTCTGGTGATGTGAAGCATGTCAAGATATCTCTCCTAAAGTGAAAGATAAGTTTTTGCATCTGGCCCCTGCTGCAATCAAGAAAGAGACCCAGTGCCTAGAAGGCCTCTTGGGATACTGGAGGCAACATATCATCATGCAGGTGTGTGGCTCTGCCCTATTTACTGCATGATTTGAAAAGTTGCTAGTTTTCAGTGGAGCTCAGAATAAGAGAAGGTTCTGAAACAGGTCCACGCTGCTGTCCAAGTTGCTCTACCACGTGGCTGTATGACCTAGCAGGCTTAATGGTGCTTGAAGTGTTGGCAGCAGATAAGGTAATATTTGGAGCCTTTGGCAGGCCTCATAAATGACATGCAGTGCAAGCCTTTAGGATTTTGGAACAAGGCTTTGCCATCATCGGCAAGTAACTATTTCTCTCCCTCCCTCCCTCCCCCCACCCCCCATATGTACACGCACGTACGTGTGTGTGTGTGTGTGTGTGTGTGTACTAGGGATTAAACCCAAGACCTTCACACTCAGCTACATTCCCATTTTGATTATGAGATGGAGTCTCATTAATGCACTAAGCTTCTCAAACTGGGCTCAAACTTGATGGGCCTCCTGCCTCAGTTTCCCAGA